GCAGGACGGCCATCGCGGCTGAAGTGAAAGCACTTGCATTTGTAAGGGGAGATAAAGCTTCACACCTACTGATTCCGCTTCAACTTTTTCTGCATTCAGAACACAATAAAAAAATAATTCTCCTCTGCTCATACATGTAGCAGCAACAAAAGCCCTGAGCAAACGGTCTTTGTCTCTCCAGATGTTTAAAGCAGAACCAAAGGACTCCCTCCTGCGAGCTGGGCTACCAACACACAGACCAGCAGCGATTTCTTAGACCACAGACCTGCCTATGTGGCCTGACCCACAATCCAGGCAAATATTTAAGGCAGCAATTAGTATCCTTGCACTCAAGGAGGGAGGGAATCAGAGCTAACAGTCCGCTGAACTTTTGTAAAAGCATCAACACAAAACTGTATTCTGCTAGTTATCCTACCTACATATCAAAAAACACCACCACCACCAGCAGGGATCCGTTCAGGTATTACTAGGCTTTTACCAAAGGAAATCAAAGTTGCACATCAGGGCTATTTTTCAGATCCATAGAACAGGTTATTAAAAGGCTGCTGGATAGTAGACAGGAACTGCTGAAGCAAAGCAATACAAAATTAGCTTTGTCCTGCAGCACGACAGCTGGTGTTTTTAAAGACAAGGTAGTATTTACGTCTCTAAATATAGTGAATCTGTTGTTTTTTTTTTTTCCTCCTCCTTGAAGGAAACAAATCACATGCAAGCATTCCAACTATCTGAGCCTAACAAAGCTTCTCACAAATAAAAAGACACTAAGCTCTATTTGCATTAAGTTAGAAAATGTTGGATTTCAATATGAGCTCTACTAATCTGACTCAATTAGAACAACTACAGTTGTTTTGAAATCACAGTTTTGCAGATATAGCTGAAAGCTCTTTAAACGCAGTTTCTGAAAATACATTTCTCCATTCCCAGACTGAGCAGGCAAATCATGTTAAAAATCATTTAGCAAGAGGGAAATTTAATCCAAGTTCCTGTTAAAAATATAGATTCTCCATACATCATTTATATTTCACTTGCAATCACTTAGTCAAATTGGTTTCAAACATCATGGAGTTCCAGCCTGGCTTCTCCAGCTAATGCCCACGGGGCTAAAACACACTATAAGCCAGTTTATAAGATTAAATGAAACAATCAGGGTGTGCATTAATGTGTACGTGCTTGTACCAAAATACTGCTCCTGTTTCCCTCGACATGTGCTGTGCTCTGCCAGGGAGAGCGCAGGGTATTTTTGCTCAGCTCCAACACTCCGCAGGTCAGAAGGTGCAATCTGCACAGCAGGACTCCCCGTTTGGAAAAGGGCAGAGGGTTTCAGGCTCATTTTGTTGTTTTCTAAACTGTCTAGAGAAGCCCCATAGCAGAGCGCAAGTCCCATCCTTCACCCCCACAGCGAGAAGAGCCGAAGCCTTTTGTTTCTGTTCTTGGAAAACAGAAATGGGGACTAACTAACCCCTGTGAAGCAGCACTCGCAGAACCACAGAGAAGACTTGCGGGGAGAAGCCGGCAAACACCGCTTAGCTGCTTGCTTTCCCCAGCCCATTTCAGGCATCAGGTTTACGTACAATAAAACCCAACGACAGGTAGTGTTGCTCAAATTACTAATTACACTCTCAGTCAGCAGTATGGACCACATACACCCCCAACACAGAGCCGATCCCATCACATACCTCATGGTCCAAACGATCTGCAGGAGTCTAAGCCGCAGCCACTCTCATACCGGCCCACGACACCAAATGAGAGAGGCAGGCAGAGGGCTGCCTCAAAGTGCAGTGCTCTTGTAATTAGCTCCTAGAAGCTGCCTGCCAACAGTGATCTTATGTTCTGCAAATAATTCTGCTTCTTCAACAAAAACACAAATGTGGGACCGTGGCAAGCAAAATGAGACAACAGTCAGAGCATTTCCCTTGACATTTTTTGTCCTTGCATGTTTAATGTTGACATGTGGGTTTCTTCTCCCTAGCGAAAAGGAAATGGATTTGCAGTTCAGTGAACAATCTTGCACTTTACCCCCGCACCGGTTACGGCCAGCCTGGTTCAAGTAGGTTTACTGTACATGTGTGTTTTGAGGTTTTCCTTTTTAAAAACAAGCTACTTTTCCCCCAGAAATTTGCTGCACTCATCTTTGCTGCTGACTTATCAGTGAACTAAGCTCTTAAGAGAACAGATACAATACAAGCCATCTTCATCGTGCCATGGAAAAAAGTGTCATCCTCTGCAACTGTCATGCTTTTTGAATCATTTTTCTTTTCTTTACTCCACAAATGAAACATAAATTCTTACTCTTAGAGAGACCATAAATAGCAGGTTACAGAAAACAAAACAAAATGAAAAAAAAAAAAATCAACACAGCTACTTTATAGGCTGCGGCTAGATATTGCTACATTCTTCCTCAATATTAAATACATCTTCCAAACACTCTAAGTTACCATTAGTGATCTATATTGAAGTATCTACTGTAAATTGACTGAGGAGAGAATAGCCCAACTCAGCCTGCTGTCCAAAAGGAGATTTCATGGACAGTAGCAGAGAAAAAAAAAAAAAAAAAACAACAACGACTTGGCATTCGCCCAAACTAAATGGCTAACTATTTTGTTCCGTTTGTCACTAATAAAACGATAAGATTGTGACTGGAAAATAAGAGCTGTGAGAGACCAAAAATCCCTTAGCCAAAGGGAGCATGTTGCCAAGGGCTGGTCTGGGCACACCAGCACAGGCAAGGACGGGCTGTTCCACCTGCCCCCCGGCTCCAAGCCCTGCGCTGCACCCGGCCGCCAGCGGGGCCGCCCGGTGAGACGAGCAGGCTCTGTCACTGCGGGACCGCGGCCGCACCAGGAACCACAGGGCTTCAGGCACCCTGGTGAGGCAGCGCCAGCCAGGAGACACAGGTGACGCTCTTGCCTTTCCCCACTATAGCTGTGGCTCTCTGCAGACCTGGCAGCTTCCATTAGAGCAAGCCCAGCCTCCGCCTCGGGAGCCTCGGTCTCCAGGCTGTAGCTGGTGTGGGTCCCGCTTGCAGCGCGAGGGCACGTCTGCCCTGGGAAGAGCTTTACCAGTGCCTGCTGCTCACCCCAGCGCAGCCCAGGGCCACGGGCACTGCCCAGCCTGGGATCCAGCGCTGCCCAGGGCCGCAGGCAGGGCCCAGCCTGGGATCCAGGGCAGCCCAGGGCCGCGGGCACTGCCCACCCTGGGACCCAGGGCAGCAGCCGCTCTTCGCCCAGGCTCATGACGCGGCCAGCACAGAGCTCGAACGTTTGCCTGGGGTGCAGCGTGTGGCTGCTGGAGAGCTTCCAGTCCCCACAGCACCAGTCCCCTCTGCCTTTGCCACCTTATCCTGTTTTTATCCTTCCACCTCCTGCTTACACCCAGCTTAGTGTGCCAAGGCTGCAGCTTTCACAGGACTAGTGCAGCTGGCCAGGCAGCTATGGGAAACGGCTGGAGGCGCCCAGCCTCCCTGCTCTGCTAGCACAGGTTTGCCCAATACGACTGCAGTCTGTGCCTGTCTCCAGCGTGGATGCCGCAAGTCAGGCAGCACCAAACACAAACTCCCTTTTTTACCCCCTCTGTCATTATTTGCCTTTCCCCTCTTATGTATTTGTGGTTGAGGTGGCAGGACCGGACACCACAGCCACCACAAACTCTCTGTTCTGGCATTCCTTCTAAGCAACAGTCAGCTCACTTTAATACTGTTGTTAGATGTTGGTGACATGAGTTAGGTTTATTTTAAAAGCTTCAATTGCTAAAGGCACTACAGGAATAGAACCCACTGTTAAAAATGAAAGCCTTGCTTTATAGTCTTACATCTTTAATGCTTTTGTGCTTTTTCCTCCTTCTCTTCCTTGGTCTGTAATGAAACCTTACAAGAGGCTACATGTCTGAAATACACAGGTGGACTTGATAGGACACGAACTTACCACTGCTTGGCCTTCTGACTTGCAGGAAAGAGAAGGGTTATGGCTGGCATCTAATACAGTATTTTTTTTTCTCCTTCCCATGACTGCTGCCTCTCTCTGCAAAATCCTCCATCCCTTCCAACACGAACTGCAATAGCCCTGCCTCCATCTCCACGGACCCCACCTTCCCACTGTCCGATCCTCACATGAAGAGGTGACTTTCAACACACCAAAGGGCAAGAACAGCAGGTCAAAGCTCATTACAGTCGTCATGTAACTGATAGAAAAATAGCCTTAAAGTAGCTATTGTGTATCTGAGGTTCCAGAGGGGCCGAGGGCTTACACAATTTACTCTGACATTCCTGATGCACCTGGATTCACTATGTGGGCAAGGGCAGCCACTGGAGGGCATGGAGGAGAAGCCCAAAAATTGCCAACCAAGTGCCCCAAGTTCTCACCAAAGAAATTTCAGAGAGAAGGGGGAAGGAATGTGAGAAAGAAGAATGGTAGCCTTAAACTATCATTTCAGAGATAAATCATATCAGACAGCTCCTCAGAGCTGTCATTTGGGGCTCTTTTCATACTTACAAAATGTCAATCACATTCTCAGGTTAGTTATTAGTATCAGTACCATGAGGCAGGTCCAGGAAATCAGCTCAGGGGCTAGATGTTGCGCAAGCCTAAGTAAAAGGGTTTGAAATAATCCAAAGCAGCACTTTTGAAAGGTTATTGAAAACCTCTATCCCACTTAACTGCTTAATGCTGTTACTGAGACCTTTATTACTTCACATTTTTGGCTTTCTAGACCTACATATTTTGTTAACTTATCTCTGTTGAAATTTGATGGACAGACATCTTCAACTGAAAATACCAAGCTCAACTGACAATTAAAACTAAGCCTAA